TTAATCATAATGTTTGTAAAGATTTAATGTCTAGCATATTCCATATCATGTGTGTACTTTAAATATACTTGTCAGAACATCAGATTGATAGATTTAGTTCATTCAATTTGTATAATATATCTTCCATACTATCAGGTCAATGCAGTTCAAATTGTTAATCAAAATAGACAAATGAGGTTTACTTTTTAGGTGAAAAGTCTGGACTCCTTTTTCAATTTAAATAAACTAGAATACTTATATCCCTGTGACAACTTCTCACTTCTAAATCCTAAGATAAATCAAAATATGGGTAGACATAGAGCCTTAAAATGAGTCTGTCACCTGGATGAAATAAGGCACTGTCCCATCACTATTTCTTACAGATGATCTTTATGCTTTGCTGTCACTGTCTCAGGAATTATACAACCTCATGGTATTCCTTTGTTCTTATACCCTGAGGAATGCATGTTGGGGATTGAGGATTGGCAAATATAGGGTCTTCTTTTATAAAGTAGGAAAAATGCAAGGAGTGATGACAAAGAATAAATGTTAACCTTAGATACATTTAGAGAAAAGGACACATAGAGCTTGAGGATTTGGGAAATGATTCCTTGAAAACGATACATACCCATGTACCCCTAGAAATATCTTAATGTACTCTCAGAGACCTGAGTCTCCCATTTTGAAGACTGGTGGTCTTGATAACAGTCTTCTGCATGATTAGAAAGGATTTTCCAATACCAAAATCATGAATTGAAAAAATACTTTGTACCTTTTATCTGTTCTACTATATTTAAGTTCTCTTGTAAGTACATAGAGTAGGATAAATTCATCTTCTATTGATGATGCTCCAAACGTTTGAAGATCCTCTGCTGCATCTCTGATGTCTTTCTATCTCTAAGATTAATATTTTTAGTTCCTTGAACTGCTCATTATCTGTTGCTGTTTTTGATCCCTTTACTTACAGTTATCCTCCCATAAAGGATGCTCAAACTGATCAAAATTCTCCTGAATTTTGATGTCCAAATCAATATAATGTTCCCACTCTTAGGGATAAAATATTAATCCTAGTAATTTTCTATATAGTGTAAAATACTACCATTTACTGAATGCTTAGTATATGCTTAGTACATAAAAAAACACTGCAGAGAAGATACTATTCTCATTTTACAGATGAGAAAACTGAATCAGAGGAAAACTAGTTAGCTTTGAACAAGGTCTAGAGCTTCAGTCATTACTTTGTTTATTAATTAATAGCTGGCTAGGATGGGACAGCAGTTGATTTAACGGCAGCATGACAGCCTATGGAGTACACTCTGTAGGAATGCAGGAAAGTCCAGGTGGATGATTATGTAGAATGTCAGGACCCGAATATCCTCTGCAAAGCCCCTGTAATTCTGCGAGGGGCCTCGGGTGGGTCATGCTGCTGTGGTCTCAAATGATCTGCCTAGGTAACCTGGTGCATGGAGGGCTTTCCAACTGGACTCTGCTCAGTCCAAGGGAATGTGTGGAGTGTCTGGTGGACTGCTGCTGAGGGAGTGGGGGAGACCTCCCAAATGGGGCTTTGTATCTCCCCTCCTCTGCTTCAACCAAACAGCTGTGCTTTTCTCTGGCTTTCCTTGTTTATACTTGTAGATAGATAAAATTGAAATAGGGATAGAATTAGAGTGTGTGTGTGTGTGTGTGTGTGTGTGCGTGTGTGTGTGTGAGAGAGAGAGAGAGAGAGAGAGAGAGAGAGAGAATATGAAAAGAATACTAATTTTGGCATCAGTTTGCTTAGGTTTGATATCTATAATATACTTACTAATTAAGTGATTAAGTGACCTCGGCATGGGCTTTAGCTTCCATGAGCTTTAGCTTCCTCAGCTGATTTACAGCGGTAGTCAAAGGTTTTTGTTGAACAAATAAGTGAATGAATGAATGAATATAATTTTTATTTTATCAAAAATAACTTTGCAAGGTTAGGTTAAGAATCAGTGCTACTACAGCCTGGCACATAGTAGGTATTTTGAGATAATAATAGCAGCACTAGTTGTCATTATTGATTCAGTACCAAGAACCCATGTGGCACTTCTCTCTATGCTAGGTGGAGATCTCTCGTTGAAGTTGAGAGCAAGTATTATATGCTCTGAATATTTGGAATGTGCCTAAGTCAAGAGGGCCTTTCCTATTACAAAGGGAAGATGCTGGGAATCTCAGAAGCTTTTCGGCCCTCTGATCTTGAAAGTGTGGCTTGAGAACTTTGGTGCTGAGAACAGTGGCAGCGTGTTGTCTAGAAGAAGTCTTGCCATTGTGCCAGATGTTCCAAAATCATACAGCAATTCAGTGGGCTCACTTCCTCTGGACCAAGAGGTGTGCATATTTACTGTCACTAGTGTTCCCGGGGCTTGGATCCTACTACCCAGTGACATCCAAGTCTATGTGCACATTCATTCTCTGGGTATGAACAAATTATTAAACTATAGCCTATTCCTCTTGTAAGAGAAAGGGGGGGGGGAGTGTGCTGAGCTTTTGACCTGAAAATTGATGTCTTTACCTAAATCATTTCCAGTTAAATACTATTGTCTTGTGGATCACATTCGTCTGCTGTAGATTATAAGTTCTACAAAGCAAGACCTTGTCTTTTCATAGGTTGTGTAAAATGGTACAGACACTTTTAGCACTCATGTCATGACAGATGGTTATCATTTATAACAAATGAATAAGAACAATGGCAGCCTACTCACATGTCCTAGAAGCTTGGTGGGCAAAGGAACCTATATATATATATATGTATATATATATGTATATATATGTATATATATATACATATATATATAAAATACTTATATTATTTATATACATTACAATATATTGTAAAGCTATGCATGTTTCTCACTGGGAAAACCAGATAACTCATTCTCCCAAATCTAGAAAACAGACCAGTGAGAGTTAATTCTAATTATGTAAAGATTCTTTGCTTTACAAGACAGTTTTTCTAAAGAGTCTCTTTAAATAGCCACATCTCTTTTTTGGAGTATTCAAAATTGGATTTGCCTTACAAAATGTTGATTAAACTCAACTTTTCAGGAGCAAAGAGAGTGTACAAAAATGGGGCATTGCATGTCAAGCGTTAATGGTGAAGTCTCACTTAGTGATCACAAGGCTCACCATTCCATCCGCTGAGCCCATCAAAGTCAGAATGTCCAAATATGGGATCCCTGGGTGGCGCAGTGGTTTGGCGCCTGCCTTTGGCCCAGGGCGCGATCCTGGAGACCCGGGATTGAATCCCACATCAGGCTCCCGGTGCATGGAGCCTGCTTCTCCCTCTGCCTGTGTCTCTGCCATTCTCTCTCTCTGTATGACTATCGTAAAAAAAAAAAAAAAAAAAAAGAATGTCCAAATATGGCAGGTGGCTTTTACAGGGCATTGGGTGCCCTCATTCTAGGCAGGAAAGCTAAGCCAGCGCTGGGGTCACTGGCCATCATTAACAATGTGAATCTGGCAGCCAAGGGCATTAATCTGTGCTCCGAGACGTTCTTGCATTATTCAGCATGTACTGATATTAGCTTAAATAGGGATAACTTTTTTATTGGGACAATTATGAAGAAAAATCTGATGGCTTTTATTCAAATGAATGAAAACAAAATTTTGAGGAGAGATGATGCCTTTCTTCCTTCATATGTAAGTCATGAGCAAGGAGAGAAAAAGGAGAGATTGGAGTAGGACCGGATAGGAACACAGGGTCAAAAGGGACCCCCAGATTACAGACAAACAAACTTTTGCTCCCTGTGTCAAACCCTCTTTTTTATAAAACCGTCTACTCGCAGGCAGATAGGGAGGTGTTGGTCATCCCTGCTGTCTCCCAGTTTGGATGCAGAGCAGCAAAAAGCAATATTTACTGCACCACTCAATTTTGCAAGTAAATATGTTAGACTCAAAGATGGGAAGAAAACGAGACAGAGAAGAAGGAAGGGCACATTTTATAAGACAATTGAATGTTTCCTAAGATCATACAGTGTCTTTACGGGCTATTCCAAGCTGGTTCCTCCAATATAAAAATGAGAATACTTCATTTTAAAGTTGCCTACTGTAACCTGATGTACTGTTCATGTATTTCCAAAGGCCCTAAAGCAAGAGTTGATTAATCTCTGCCTAGATTTAGGCAGGCTGATGAGAATCTTGCAGGAAGTTCTATCTGTTATGCTGAAAGGCTATCGTTAACACTTCCGCAAAGTAAGGGGTACACTCAAAATTTTCATAGGACAGTTTATTTCTGTACTCCTCTGAGTTATTTTTGCCTTCCTGTCTCATAAGCCTTGTGTGTGCTTTGTGTGCTCACGAGAGCACACAAAGCACACATTAAAAGAGAATGAATGTTGAATATATGGAGTGGGTCTTGGGCCCGAAGATGAGCGGGTGAGTGAATAGAGGAGAAACATGAGTCAGGTGGAGTGAGAGGTAAGTTGAAGACTCTGGTGGAGAGGAAAACAGTTAATTTGCATTGTTCGTGACTAAATACGTGTTCAGGTGTGAATTTTATGCTCTGCCACACGCGTTCAGAAATGCCCTTCTCATTTCTCATATTCACGCAGTTTCCGTACAGAACCAGGCCAGCATAGACAGGCTTGCAGAGGAGAACAATCCTCATCAGCCGAGAGAGAGAGAGAGAGAGAGAGAGAGAGAGAGAGAGAGAGAGAGAGAGAGGAATCAAATGTGTACCCCGGGGGAGGGGGGGGGAGAGATGGCTCTCTGGGGAGTAAAAACGCGTTCCTGGGACCATGTGGAAAAGGGTTGAGGGCAGGGCTTCCTCCTTTCCGAGGCATAGGAGTGCAGAGGTGGGCTGCTCCCGGTGCCACGGTGGGGGTTGCTCCTCGCATGTAGCCCCTGGCAGGGGAAGGACAGGGAACTGGGAATGCGTGTGGCAGAGGCTCACTCTGCCAGGACGAGATGTTGGGGTATGAGGGTGGGGTGGGGGCCCGAGGGGTGGCTTGGAGCCCTAGCGGTGGCTGCCTGACGTCACCGGCCTCTCTGGCAATAGGCTGCGAGCTGAGCTCCCCGAAGCGGCGGCGGCAGCGGCAGCCGGGCTCGGTCGCTGGCCCCTTCACTCCGCGCCTTCTGCAGCCGCCACTGCAGCCGCGCGGCGGGGGCTCCCTCCCTGCAGCCAGCTAGTGGCCCCAGGTAAGGGACGCGGTGCCGCGAAAGGTCCCAGCTGCCGGGTGGCGGGGCGCGAGTGGGGCGGCCTGCGCAGGCACCCCCGCGGCAGCCTCGGCCCCCACCCGGCCCGGCCCCCGGCTTGCGCGCCTCCCCTCTGCTCCGCAGTGCAACAGTTTGCAGCTGCCTCCCGAGAAGGGCGGGCGAGGGGCTGTGCTGCGCGCTGCGGGTCTACCCGGCTCGGGTCCCCGGAAAGAGCCTCGGCTGGGGCTGGGAAGGCTGGAGGGAAGGTCCGTTCCCCAAACTTTGCGAACGAGAACCCTCGCCCTTCCGTTTCCCGTCCCCCTAGAAAGAAGCAGGATACTGCCGAGTGCGGGGCACAGGGAGACGGCGAGAAGGGGGCGTTTGCGGGGACGTGCTTTAGCTGAAAAAAAGGTGTTTCAGCTGCTTTTTTTTTTTTTTTTCCTGGTGTGTGGGGGGAGGTACCAGGGAAGGAGGCAGGAGAAAGGATGGAGCGCGATCCAGCGCGGCAGCCGTGGCCACGGACAGAGGCGGAGTAGGATGTGGTTGCTGTGGTGCCCCCATGGGAATGGGACTTGAGGGCTCTGAAGCCGGCCAGGGAAGGAGAGTCTGGAGGGCGAGGGAGGAGCAGGCAGGCAGGGCTGCGTACCCGGAGCCCGCTCGCCCGGCTGTGGGGTCGGGTCGGGGTGGGTGCTGGGAAGGTAGGATCCCGGAGGACACATCCACCGGGAGGGCGAAGGAAGGAGGAGAGCGGGGCTCGGGCGCCAGCGACCGCGTTCCGGGGCGGCGGTGTGTCTGTTGCAATTAGAAAGTTGTGGGGGCGCCGGGAGGCTGCCTCATCTGCTGAGTAATCTGGCTCTCGGCGGGGCGGGCGCAGACCCCTTGCCAGCGAGGGGCGAGGGCGCGCGGCCGGGGGCGGGCGGGGGTCGGCGGCTGCGGAGCAGGCGGGCAGCGCCCGGCGGACGCGGGGTGCCCGGGGGGCCGCGCCTTCGGCCCTCCGCGCCCCCCTGGGCAGCGGCCGGGATCCTAACTAAGCCTGTTCTCTCTGCAGCCTGGTGCCTGGGAAAGGAAGAGGGCGCGCGGACACGCGTTCCAGGCGGGGTCGGCGAGGATCTCCCGGGCGCCGCTCGCTTCCCCGCCGGCTTGCCCGCCCGCGGTTGCTCCCTCGGCCCTTCGCCCGCGCGCGCATCCCCTCCCGCACCAGGGAGTAGTTCTGGGTGGCGTGGGCTCCGTCCTCTTCTTGGCTGGTGGCAACCGTGTGCCTGAGAGAGGAAGTCTGGTGGGCCCGGCCCCTCCCAGCCCAGCGCCGATGAGTGCCCGGGCGCCCAAGGAGCTGAGGCTGGCGCTGCCGCCGTGTCTCCTCAACCGGACCTTTGCTTCCCCCAACGCCAGCGGCAGCGGCAACGCCAGTGCCCGTGGCCCGGGTACCGGCGCCAGCGGAGGCGGCACCTGCATCACGCAGGTGGGACAGCAGCTCTTCCAGTCCTTCTCCTCCACGCTGGTGCTGATCGTCCTGGTCACCCTCATCTTCTGCCTCATCGTGCTGTCCCTCTCCACCTTCCACATCCACAAGCGCAGGATGAAGAAGCGGAAGATGCAGAGGGCTCAGGAGGAGTACGAGCGGGATCACTGCAGCAGCAATCGCGGCGGCAGGGGGCTGCCCCCGGCGGGCGGCCAGGCCCCAGCCCAAGCCAAAGAAACCCGGCTGGAGAGGCAGCCCCGGGACTTTGCCTTCTGCACCCCCTCCGACGCCTCCTCTTCGTCTCTGTCCCCTGGCCTCCCGTGCCAGGGTCCCTGTGCTCCTCCGGCTCCACCACCCGCCCCCAGTCCGCAAGGAGCACAAGCAGCCTCCTCCTGTTTGGACACAGCTGGCGAGGGCCTTTTGCAAACGGTGGTACTGTCCTGATCATTTAGCCCCCTCTTCCCTCCCCTTCCTCATCTCCAGCATCTTTGCCGTCCTTGCTTTCTCCCCCTCCATCTTTCCTCTTCCACTTTTCTCTGGCCTCCCTCTCTTTTTCCTTCTTTCCGTCTCTGCCCTCCCCTTACTCTGTTTCTCCTCCGCCGAGGCACTGTGCGGTATTTGTAAATATTGGGCGAGGAAAGTCTCGGAAGAAGAAATAACGCTGATAATACTTTATTATTAATATTTATAGTAATTATTATAATACTAATCACACAATCCAAGCGCATGACAAATCACATCATTTCTCATTGTCAATGAAGGATGCGTCTTCCCTCTCCACCCTGCACCCCTCCCCGCCCACACACACACACAATAAGGAGGAGAAACCGCACAAGCTACCAAATATAAAAGAGGCATTGATTCCTGGAGCAAAGGGAGTGGAGGGGGCCCGGTGTGTTGTACATAGCTGTCAAGTTAAGGTTCAGTTACCTTCCCTTCCTTCCATCTCCCCCCACCCCCACCCAAGCTTTCACTTTTCCTTCAGCTTCCCTCCTTCCCCATTCCCACCTTCCGCCGGGCTCAGGCAATAGTACATTTCAAAGAAAATGTCTACATTAAGCACCAGAACTACAAGAGGCCACAGAGACAGTCCCAGACAAACGTGATGACATGTACTGGTCTCTGGTCAGCCCTCTTTCTCACCCCTTAGTTAACCATTCCTTTTTCCAGGACCAGACATTTAAAAATTTACTTTTAGAAATGTCCCTCGCTGGCCGAAAATCTTTAAATGGGTTGAAAGAAAAGAAAGAAAGCAACAGAAAGTGAAAGAAAGAAAAGAAAGAAAGAAAGAAAGAAAAGAAAGAAAGAAAGAAAGAAAGAAAGAAAGAAAGAAAGAAAAGAAAGAAAACAACATCTGCTGCTTTAGCTCTCTGCCCCGCCCCCAGCTGTTCACCTTTGACTTGTGGCATTTTCGGGATTCATAAAGGATCCAGAAGCTGTCCAGACAGGTGTGGTGCTGAAATTGCTTCACAGGACTGGTTACTTTGGTTGTGTAGGCAGAGGAAGGGCTGTTTTGGGAAGTGACAATTTTAGCTTTTTGTTGGTTTCTTCTTTTTCTACGATCGGGTTTGCGTGTACTATTGGTTTTATTATTAAACATTGCATAAGTTAACCTTTTTTTTGTACAAAAAAAAATACTAGGTGATGTGCAGTACTGAAAGTGCAGTATCTAACCAACCAGAATGTTTCTGTTTAATTTTTAGAGCAAGTGCACCTTTGTTATATATTTATTATATTGGTACCAAATACAGAAACAAACTATAGTTCTGTACTACATCCTCCAAACTGTATAGTCTTGTTCTTAATTTCCAGCTGTTGATATAATGGTTACCACTGGATGAGCAATTCAGTGGGCAGGCCTGGCTTCTGCTGTTTCCAGAAGTGTTCTTTTGTACCTTATTCTGTAGTAGACTGTTATAAAAAGATAACACATATGTTTTCTTTTTTTCTTTTGCGAGTAACAGAGACAACCACAACAGAAAACAAACAAATAATGGATGTGCAGGAATGCCATCTATTAAAACATGGTTAATATTTAAACAGTGCCTGTAGTCCTCCCTGCATGCAATTACCACCTGGAGGCAGTGGTGTGTGTGCTTGCTTGTACTGTATGTGTTTGGGGGTGAGACTGGTGGGGATATTGGGCAATTTGGATGACAGGACATGCAAATTTCATGAGAAGTTAAACCCAGTAACTACTTGTAGGATAAAAAAAAAATATATGAAGCTTGTTAGTAAAAAAATTTGTGCCTGCATCTGAGATGCAGTGAAGGAAAGGCTCTTTTCTCTTTCTCAGTCTGGCTTACCTACCTTCACTGGATACACACACAAAAAAAAAAAAGGTTGAGAGAAAAACAAAGAGAAAAGATCAATATTTTTATTCTCTTTCCTGATGCCAGAGAAGGCCATCTATGTTTGAAATGGGGTCCACCTATGGTTATTTACCACTTTGTTTCCCTTGGATTGATGATAGAAGGAGCCAGAAGCATATTGCAATCTTAAATATATGCAGTGGCATCCTTTCTTGGGAACCAATTTTTTGACAGTTATTTAAATATTTGGATAATATATGAATGAAAATGAATCAATCAAAAAATCCTTATCAACCTGCACGGTGTAAGGTAACAGTGCCCCTATGTGCATCCCTCTTCCAAATAACTATTAATTCTAGGTTCTCTGTCTTGGTTCCAGGCTTCTGTGCTCTTATCTAGAGAAAATATTACCTCTGAGGTTTTAGGTCATCTGTTAAATTGCCCAAGCTCAACCTGCATCTTTTATACAAATAATTTAATAAGCTTAACTTTAACCGTCCATTAGATATTCACTCACGTCCTTTCCTGAAGCACAGAGGATCATCATTTAAGCATGCCATGTTGTAATATTAGGAAGACCAGGTATAATCTTTGGGTTCAATATATTAAACAATGAACCAGATTCTCTCCAGTGCCTTAGTCACTTCCTAGTAATAGGTAAAAGAGTGCATTAACTCCCTCAGGCCACTAGGGAATCCTTTAGTGCATCAGAGCTCCACACTGTACATCAGAATGACTAAGGCACTGTGAGAAAGAAAGTCCATTAATTTTGTGGCTCACCCTCATCCAGCTGTAGCTCTTTAATACCTTTTTACAGAATGACTTTTGGACTTGAAATTTGAACAGAATCAGGGACTCAGAAGGGAGCTTCCTCATTTCCAATAAGCTCCACTAAGTGCATGGATATTACTTTCTCCCTCTTGTTTGGTGCACTTCTTACAGTGAATAATTTCCCATTTTATTGAAGCAATAAGATGTTCTGTTGTGAGCAGTGCTGGATGATGATTCCATTTTCCTTGGTGCTGAAGCTACTCTTACGTTCTTGCCTTATGAATCACAGTGCATTCAAGGCATGCAATAATAATCCCCTTCCAAGGAGCAGCCTGTACACTCTAGGGGGTAATTATGAAATTGTCCTATATAATTTTTCCCCAAAGGAATAGAGGAAACAGGAGAAATGAAAGCATTATGTATACTGTTTAAAAACCATCTTGATACCTCTAAACATGGGCACACATCCATAATATGCTCTTATTGTGCACCTTTAAATATGTATGCCTTTCTCCATTAACTGACTGTGGTTTAATATTTTTAACAGTGCTCTTTGTAAAGATGATGTGGTTTGTGAGTCAAATTTCATGCTGAGTTTCATATACTCAGAATTCTAAGCTTCTGGTGGTGTCACTTGAGATTTTTTATGAGATAGTGAATTACATGAAATTCTAGTAATACCAGTCCCCACACCAAATCATTGCAATAAGCACATACCCAAGCAATTTGCACAGACCCTGTTTAGAGCATTGCATCTTATTGAGCTCAATTGACAGTCTCAGGAGTTTGGGATGCTACCAACAGGGCATTTTGGATTTCATTTATATGAAACAAAAGGCAATCTGGAAATAGCTAAATTTGTTTTGAGGATTTTATTCATTGATGTCCCGTCAAATGAATTGCTTCAAATCCCTATAGCTACAGCTCAACTTCTGCACTTGCTACTCAGTATTAATAAGGTGGCATGCTTGATTCTTATTGTTTTTAAAAATGAGAAAATTGGAGAGAGAATACCATTATGTCAAATGTATGGGACTCTGAATCTTAAAGATGTAGATGAATATAACCTTCTTTAGAATTTATATACACCCATAGATATGTATTTATATATGCATACATTTTGTACAAATTTACAATGGACTTTTTGTATTCTCTTTTCTGTCGTTACAAGAATGAGATGGAAACCAAATTGTTGTTCCATCCTCTTATCCAGAGAGGATACTGAGAAGTCAGGTATATGCATGTATGTATTTCTCTGGGGTTAAGTCTGAATGACTTTCTCTTTATTTAATGAAAGGGGAGAGTCTTGTTTGGCTCGGGGAGTTGGTAATTAGATAAGCTTCCTTTCCTAGTTAGTAACTCAAATGTAGCAATGATAATGAACTTGTGACCATGCCTATGTGGTCTAAATATCTAGATGGAAAGCAAAAATGTCTAGAGGAGCTTTAGAGCTATCTAGACCACAAGCCTGGATTGTGGCTTGATTTTTTTTTTTTTTATTTTCAGCCTATATGTTGTGTGGAGATACAATTTATATCTGCATAGCTAAAGGTAAAGTGAAAATAGGACCATTATCTGTTTAGTTTGGTATGCAGTTTTTGGAAAATATGGATAAATTAGCTTTTTAAAAAACACTTTGGCATCTGACTTTTCCACCATTTCTATCTATATCAATTGAATTAATTAGATAATGGTTAAAATTCCATTTTTTTTCCATTAAATGCTTTTCTGTGGGTGACAGTTGTGGAAGTTAAAGGTTAAATTAGAACCAGAAACTTTAATCTAGTCTGGTCAGGCTCCTCAGGTCCATTCCCCTGTGAATATGGACTTTAAATCTGAATTTGAAAAACCACTTCTCTGGGCCATGCTTCTTTTGGAATTAGTGATTGTGGCTCACAGATGTTTTAGTTCATATTAGAATGAACTGACCTATCTATAGAGGGGTATTTAATCATGAATTGAACATCAATCTGATTCTGATTTGGTTTCTGATTTACTTGATAACATTTGAGAAACAGCTTTGATGACATCAATACTTGTTAATGTCACCAACCTAGTAATACAATTGGTGCCATGTAGGAATGCTTAGCTAAGAATAAGAATTTAATTAACTTTAATTGAGGACAATGTCTTATCAAGGTAGTTCTACCTGTTTGAAGCAGGGATACTTGTGATCTCATTGGGTTGTTTTCATAGGGAGATTAACAACAACAATAATGACAAAAGCAACAGAAAAACTGATTTTTGAACTCAAATATATCCAACAGACAGAATAAAACAGATATTAGAATTCATGGAAAATTTGTTTTGCTTTTCTATCAATAAAAGAGTTTTCTTGTTTAATTGGCTTTTTGGACACTATTTCCTTATTAGTTTATATAATATAATAAGATTATAAAGCTACTCTACTGCCTCAGAGGCTCAAAGAAATTAGTTTTTATTTTTAATTATTTCCTTTCTGAACTTCTTCAAAACCAACTACATCAAAAAATGGAAGTTTATAAATTTTAGTATCACCCAATAAACTGAGTCCTGTCCAATAATTTAGCAGTCCTTTTAGGCAGATGCTCAGGCTCTGTGGTCATATACTTAGTCATTCAGATTTCCTCTTTTTCTGCCTTCTCTAATATAATCAGGTATATGGGGGAAAGGATATGATTGACATGATTTTGTGGTGGTTAGGGAAATGGGAAGTCTCACATTCATGTAAATTCTTTGGTCCTGCTTAACTCTGCTGCAAAGTGGTTGATTAGAAGTGCTCTCCAGTCTGAGATGCTATTGTCATTTCTGGCTTTTGTGCTGACATTCACCACTGCAGTCTTAATGCCCCCCCCTCAGTCCCTTCCCCCCAGTCTCAAATCATCTCCCACAGGAGTATGTATATCCTGCCATCCTTAGGTCCAGCAGGACTCTCACACTTTGTTTTCCTGCAGATATAAGAACTTCTGGATATCCTTCATGCCATTAACCTACTACTGAGAAGCATGGCAACACCTGCCACTGCCAACTCAGTTCAGCTGGTCCTGCTCCATGTCAGATGGTATTATGAATTAGGAATAAGTTCCACTCTGGTACTTTCCAGAGGGGTGGGGCTTCTCCAAAAATATTTACATGTTTATGAAGCACCATCTCCTCTTTTTGTGTATGGAAGAGAGAAGCATAAAAGCGTTCACAGCTGCCTGTCTCACTCTTCTGTCTCATTCTTTTCTCAGAATTACCCCAGACTACAAGAAGCAGATTTTCCTCTTAATACCCCCTTTTATCTACCTGAGATTCCTTCTACTATAGGTGACACCACTTCTGCAATGGGCTTTGTCTCTTTCCTGATTTCAGCCTAATGACTAGCCTTTAATGGCAATTAGGGTGTAGGAGACAGAGAGAAGCTTATTGATAAGGGATCCTAAATTGGGAGATATTTGAAACATACAATGCTACCATAGTAAACCTTTGTATTCCTGAAAGGACATTAACTCATGATTAAGGCCCTACTCTCCCCTTTCCTAGAAGGTGAGAGCTTGATTATTAACCTACGCTTATTTCTTTGTGACCTTCTACCCAATCCCTCCACGTTTGGCTAGAAAAATCTCCATATGGATTGAATCTTTTACTTTGTATCACTATTCGTTCTCCAGGAGGGCACAGCCTCTTCCCAATACTGGTCCATTACGTCATCCTATCTCCAACCTTAGTAGCTGCAGATTGCATGTTAGAAATGTTTTCCTTGAGTCAGGAAAACTTCTAGTGGATGTTGAATTCTGGAGTACAGATGAATAGCTTTCTTTACCAAAAGGTGGCAGGAAGTATGGATTGGTGCCACAATGTAATCTCTAATTATGGTCTACTTCAATCCCAGGAGGTAAATATTTTTCCACCTCAGTTTTTTGGTTCAAGAGAGGGGATGGGTATTTATTCAGCTCGGTCTCACAAGAGGAGGTCTGACAATGGACCTACTCATGGGCCTTTCTGGGCTGACTTCATTAATTAAATACTAGGTGGGTATTGTCTTTCTTTTTAGTTGTTGAAGTCCAATCTCTCTTTCCAATAATGCCTCTCTAAATATGACTCAGTCTGAATTGATGCTGTTAGTATTGGGCATTCCTCTCTGAAAAGTTGGTTCTACTTCTCAAAAAACTTTACAGACCAAGAAGGGGCTCTAGTGATAGGTTTTCTTATCCCCTCTTTTCTACTTTATGCTGGCCATTCTCTAGGTAGGCATCTACAAATTTTCTCTCTCCCTAGGTCATGGCTCTGACTTCGGATTTTTAATTTTAGCCTAAACATTTATAGTGACTCTTCGGTAAAAAAAAAAAAAAAAAAAAAATTGCTCTATATAGATTCTTAAACAACCTGAGAAATACCCTGAAATGCACTGAGATGTCAAAAATATTCACCTTTCATATATAGGTATAAGCAACACAAACGTGACTGCTCTGTCTTCCTATGATTCATCTTCTTTCTCACAGGGACCAACCTGCCGGGTAGCTCTTTTAATTAAATTTTCAGACTCTCAAATTTTCTCTTCTCTGCTCCTTTCCAAGGTAATGTCTGGGAATGATTTGTGTTATATGATGGTAGCTGAAGGGGAAGTTTCCTCAGACCCATGCAATCTTAAACAAATCTTTTCTGGTCTGTGCTGCGGAGTGGCCAGTCTTGTCTGCTTCCTGGGTTGTACCCACCACTGGAACCTAAGATTCCGAACTTTTTTATATAGTCTCCTCAAATCTGAGTCTACCGTGGTTCTTTTATGTCAAATGCAAGATTTTGCTGTTTTTGCTGTGTTTAGGCATCTCTGGGCCCCTTCAACTGGGACAAATGAGCATCTCTGAGTCCTTTAGTGCATCCCATTTGGACCATGGAAAATAAGACTTCTACTTGCCTAGGGTCACCACCACTGTCACAGTGGCACTGCCTTTCTGTAGGGGAGAAGAAAGTACTGTAACTCTCTCTAGTAATGGTTTCCCCTAGTATGGCCAGGGAGATTTTCCAAAGCCCCTCCTGGTCTCAAAGTCCTCAGACTCTCTGATCCTATCAGAATACTTACCATTGGATCTCTCTCTATAGCTGTTTGTCCCTGAATCAAGGACAGTCAAGGACTTTGGGGACCAAAAGCTTTGCAATCTGCCTCCTCAATCAACGTTTGACTCCCTTCTTCCCCTCAAATTACCCAGAACTATAAGGGATAGACTTTTTCTGTATGGCCCCTTATATGGTCTTCTGGTAGAGGCAAACAAAATTTAGGTATTTTGCTTTCTAGTGTAATATCCTGTGCCCTGAGTCAATCCTCACAGGTAAGTTTTAAATGGAAGGTAGGGTATAGAAGAAAGATTGACCTACTAATAAATGGGCCTACATTAAGAGGTGCTTAAGACATACTTTATTAGTTATGCTTGTTTACACATAGATAATTATTAGTTGAATGGCAAGCATTGGTGATGTCAGAAAGATACCATCTCCTCCTTCTACTTAGCAGTGTGTGAAGTCCCTAAATTAAGAGCTTTGTCCCAGGGGTTTATGTTGTAGACCCCAGTCCAGTCTCTGTGAGAGAGATAATAGGTGTCACCAGTGCCTTAATGTGGACCAACCTTTCTAGAGATCCTGCCATACATAGAAAGGAGAGGAAGAGGGGTAGGTTCCTAAGCATCAAAGGTGCTTGCATTATCAGGGAAGAACAAAGAAAGGAGAGGCTAGGAGACACACTTCTCTATCTTTGCCCTTGTGGGCCACAACCCCCTTCCTTCTGCCACAGTGTGTCCTATGGGGAAATGTACAAAGGATCATAAGCATGCCCAACATGTAAGAATGTGGCTGTGATGTGATAGGTTTATTGCGGGTTCTACCCAGGTTAGTCCTGTTCTTAGATTCATACACAGGTAGCTTCATTTTTTTTTTTTTTTGCTCCAGTTACACTGCCCTGTTTCTGACAGTTGTCTATCAGCCCTAATCCTCACCATGTAACCACATGCCTGTAACTAGTCCTGGCTTGGCCATGGACTATTGTCATTGGCTTTTTTTTTTAATCTGGTTAATGAGATGATCTCTTTGAACCTTTTCCCTCTAATATGTGAGAGCTTGTTCAGTCAACAAATATTCATTGACAGCCAACTCTATGCCAAGTGTCACTTTTGGTGCCAAAAATACAGGAATTCATGATATAGGTAAATGTCTTGCCCTCACGAGGACTTCATTTTTTGGAGAGAAATAAATAAAACACATGAGTAAATTAAACTATGGAGTATGTTATAGGGAGAAGAGAGCTATAGAGATAATAATGCAGTAAAGATGGATAAGGAATGTGCCAGGAGAGAGTGTTGGATTTTAAATAGGGTGGTCTGAGAAAGCCTCACTAAGAAAGTGTTACTTGAGCAAAGACTTAAAGAAGCCATGCAAATGTATGAGTTAACTGATTAAAGACTGTTTGGCTGTAAGGATTTGTAAAACCCAATTCACCCAAGCCACTAATTTTGTAAGTAAGCAAATAGGGATCTTGGTAGACAGAAAGCAGGAAACTGATGCTTACTGAACAGTATGTTAACTGACACTCCTCAAGTAGGGGGCAGGGGTAAAATCCGACCCTAATGTCAAGGAGTTTATAGTGATGAAACAATAAATTTCAATTCAATTCAACTGTGGTAGTAAATACATGTAAAAATTACTTTGGGATCACAAAGTAAGTAGCAATGGTCTGTATGATAGGGTTAGGAAAGGTTTCCCAGAGGAGGTAATACTTTAGGTCAGTTTTAAAGGATGAGTAGGAGTTCATCAAAAAAAAAAAAAAAAGGAAAAGCATTTTAAGCAGAATGAAAAGCATGTCTGAAAGCACAGAAGTAATAATGTGGTGTGTATTTTGAGAACGTAATTGTTCACACTGGGAATGGCATAAAAGAGTACAAAAAGTAGAAGTAAGGCAGATTATTAAGGGCCCTTCACGAGTAGCTTTTGAGAAGATGCTCTTCTGTTGTCAGTGAGGAGTCAGTGGGAAGTTTTGAAATTAGAGCAGAGTTGTACATCTGGATTTTTAAAATGCTACCCTGGAAGCATCAACATACAGAACAGATATGATGGTGGTCACAGAATGGGATATAGAGACACCAGATGGAATGTAACTTCAAAAATCCTGCAACAAAAGAAGGTTTGAATTAATAGGGGTGGGGATGAAGAATCCTGGTATATTTGGGAATATATTAGGTTATGGAATTGATGGAGTTGGTGATTAATAGATGCTTGATGTGAGGGAGATGAAGCAAAGAGAGAAGGAAAAAGGAGGGAATAGATGGATACTTTCTGTTTTGTTGATTAGGGCAACCTGGGCCTGTGTGCTGCTT